AGTGATATAAGCTACATGCTTAGAAAACTGGAATATGAGTACACCAAATGGGGCCTCAGAATTAATATACAAAAAACTGAGTACTTAGTTGTAGGAGATCAACCAGAAAGCCTACAAATAGAAATGGGAACTATAAAACCAACAGACAATTTTAAGTACTTGGGAGTCCAAATAACATCAAAAGCAGGAAGTAGCGAAGAAATACATTCCAGGATTGACCAAGCAAGATCAGCCGCCAGACAGCTACACGGACTATTATATAATAAAATAATAACAAAAGAAAATAAAAGAAGAATTTATAAAACAATAATAGAAAGTATTGGACTGTATGGCGCCGAACTCTGGGAAATAAACCAAAGAAACAAATCAAAAATTAAGGCCATGGAAATGAACTACTGGAGACGATGTTGCCAGCTCACTAGACTTGATAGGGTGAGAAACGAAGATATTCGGAGAGAAACGGAAATCGATCTAGACATAATAGACACAATCGAAGCTAAAAGACTTAACTGGTATGGACACCTTCAGAGAATGCCGGAAAATAGATGGCCAAAAAAAATAGAAGAATGGACTCCGCCAACTAGAAGAAAACGAGGTAGACCAAGACGATCCTGGAGAGACGATGTCGACGATGCAATGCCGACCGCCAGAGATCTAACAACTGAAGATTGCTTCGACAGAAAACGCTGGAAATTAGGATGCGAGAAGCGGCGCTAGCTGTAGAAGACTCGCTTGTTATATATATATATATATATATATATATATATATATATATATATATATATATATGTATATATATATATATGTATATAATATATATATATATATATATATATATATATATATATATATAAGATGGTGGTATTCTTGACTGTTGATTTAAATATAAGTTATGATTTTTGAGGATGCAGTCAGTTTATTTGGCCCACAAGACAAAGAAAACTCTTTGACCTACTGTCAAGCTTTCGAATTTTTTTTTAATTCTTTTTCAAGACATCTATAAAAAGAAATATAAATTAACTAGTTAAAATTGTTAATTTTCTTACTTACTAGTCGTGAGATTACAGTTTTTAATATTGTACTCTACTAAAATTATACCAAAATCTCATTTTCTATTGACATCCTAATATTAAAAATTCATATGTGCTTAAGCCAAGCTGCTGACTGGATTAATTTATACTTTTTATAGACAATTAAATAAATTATAATAAAAACTATTGTTACTGGTTTTGCTTTCCACATAAAGTAACTGTATTTTCATTCATATATGTCCATTAATCAAACCATGACAGTGACATATATAGTGATAATATAGTTATTTTTAATAAAAAAAATTTATTATATTTATTATGGTTTGTTTAGTAGAGTACAATATTAAAAACTGTAATCTCACGACTAGTAAGTAAGAAAATTAACAATTTTAACTAGTTAATTTATATTTCTTTTTATAGATGTCTTGAAAAAGAATTAAAAAAAATTCGAAAGCTTGACAGTAAGTCAAAGAGTTTTCTTTGTCTTGTGGGCCAAATAAACTGACTGCATCCTCAAAAATCATAACTTGATGATGAACGATGATGATGATGAAAATTTATTTAGATGTATGAACATTAAGACTGATTTTTGTAACAATAAAAATGTATGTAAAAAATAAACAAGATATAAGATCCTGTAAAGTCGCAGTTTGTTCGTTTACCTAGAAGGAATACTATTTTAAAAAGCTAAAATGCATTAAGACGATTGAGCACGTTAGTAATTAGTATTGATTAATATTAGTATTATACTTTTTTAATACCAGTATATTAATATATTGATGTGGTTAGGTCTCGCAGCATCTTTATTTATTTCCAAAATCGAGATAGAGGTTCGTAGACAGGAATTTTAATTATATTTATTAACATCTTTCCGCGCGCTTCGATGATTGTACTGTTACAACTCGACCACGAATCTGTTATAAATATTTGAAATCGAAACGATAAATAATCCAATAAAAAACCATAAAACATAACCTCAATTAAGTTTGAGTCAAAAATATGAAGGCAGAATACACCGCTCGACTGCAGATATAAATCGTAACACGGAGAATTGGTTGTTAGGAGGTGACAGAAGTCAACTTACACGTTCGTATCAAACTGAGATCTCCACGGGCACTGCTTTAATATGAATCCATTTGAATGTGTGTGTATGTGGATTATATAGCCGAAGATTCGTGACTACACGGTATCTAGAAGGAGGCAGATTAATAATAGATTGTTTGGTACTGCCTTCGACTTTGTTAGTTACTGCTCGCCGCCCCTTGACCGATTTAATGCTCAATTCATCGCAAAATATGCGATAACGAAATATTTAACTGGCGAATGTTTACCGACAACAATGAAGTGTTACATATTTGCTACAAAAGGCAGACGAATCGTGTTAGCATTGTCTCTATTGTTTTATTTCATAAATTTAAGTAACGATAAATAACAGATTTCAAATATTGGAGAAGTTGGGATAAAAATATAATATAGTATTATACAAATAATAAAATTTGGAAGGTCCGAGCTATTACTTACGAGAGTAAATATATTTTTGTGCTTCGCTGTGTTATCTTTATAAACCGTAGTGCTATCGATAAAACAAAATAATAGTACTTGTACAATTTAGGTTATATATTAAAATATATTTTTTTTATTTAATGGCAGCCGCATCAAGCATATTGGTTATTAGCGGATGAATTTAATGAAAACAATGATGAATTACAAATAACAAATAAATAACATACTTATATGTGGTTCAATATTTTACAGTCTTTTAAACTTTCACAATATTTTCACTGGTACACTCACTAAAGATGTCACTTATAACTGATGGACTTTTATTACTTGGTCTTTCAGCACTATATTTGGGACATTCCGTTAATACGTGTTTCACTGGCACGTCACAACTCGTACATTTTGGTTGAGGTTCCTTCTTCATGAGATATTCATCTGTGATTTTGCTGTGTCCTAATCGGAGCCTGATTAATACAACCTAAAGGAAATGGCTAGTGAAGTTGTTAGTCCATCGTACAAAATTTGGTTTAATTTCTTTTAACTTTGAGGATTTTTCCTCCCAACATTTAGTCCAATTACATATCAGCTTTTCTTTAAAGTACGGATTGAGATCTTCTGCTAATGGTTTTATTATCGGTCTGATATTTGGGGAATTTGCTATTTCTCGAGCATTTTTATCAGCTAGTTCGTTTCCTTTAATGCCTATATGTGATTGTCCCATACGAAGACTAATGTTTTGTTTTCCAGCTGCTGCATCTTGTTTTTAATTAATTTAGCTAACGGGTTGCAAGTGTACATTTTTGACAGTATATGAAGGGAATTGTTTGAGTCAGTAATAATATGGAATTTATCTGATTTTACTGTTTGTATGTGAATTAGAGCTCTGTATATTGCATACAATTCTCCAGTTATCACAGTCGATTCTGTGGGCAATTTGAAACTTTTTATTATGTCTCTTATAACAAATGATGATCCTACACCAGAAGTTGTTTTAGATGCATCTGTGTAAACTTGGGTATATTCAGGGAGAGAAGAAAGTATTCTATTATAATTGCTTATAAATATTTGTTATAATGATATGATGATAGTTCTAAATTTAAAGTAGGCAAAGGTATTAACCAGGGAGGTGGCGTGTTTACGTTTGCTGAATGTGTTGAGGGAAAGTTAAAAATTTCAATAGAGTTTAAAATGTTTTTGATCCTTAATTCAAATGGTAAATGTGTTCTTTTATTGATATTTGATAACAATGACTGAGTAAGAAAATGGTTGTCAGGTTGTAGTGATGTTTGTTTTGAAGCGTAAGACAGACTAAGTAATTTCCGTTGTTCATGTAATGATGGCTCTCCAAGTTCCCACTCGAGGCTTGCAACAGGAGTTGTTCTATAAGCTCCAGAGATTATGCGTAATGCATTGTTGTGTATAACGTCTAAGATTTTTAAATTTGACTTCGACGCTGAAGAATATGCAATGCATCCGTAGTCTAATTTTGATCGGATTAGGCTTCTATACAACAGTAATAATGTATTTCCGTCAGCATCCCATTGTTTGTTGGCTAAATATTTCAGAAGATTTATACCATTTTTACATGATATCGCCAATTGTTTAATATTTGGTTTCCAACTTAAAGTTTCGTCGAATGTTATGCCTAAATCTTTTATCTTTGTACTTCGTTTTAAAAACTTTGTGCCGAATTTTAAGGCAGGTACGTTAGGTGTGAATAGGCTTTTTGGAAAAAAAATATATTTTGTCTTGTCAGCTGAAAAATAGAATTCACTCCTATTAGACCAACTTTCGATTTTATTTAGTTCTTTTTGTAAAATTTTGACCATCGAGTTAATATTTTTTCCTTTGATAAACATTATCATATCATCAACATATAATCTAGCCTGTGCAGGTCTCTTGAGATTTTTTATAACATCATTCATTGCTATTAAAAAAAGTGTAGGGCTAATTACTGATCCTTGTGGTGTTCCATTGTCTTGAGACTTGATACTAGAAAGTTCTCCATTACTACGTACTGAAAATTTGCGTTCATTTAGAAAGTTATTCAAAAATGCCAACATTTATATTTCTAATAAATATATTAAAATATTTATTTATATTTTTTGGTGCGAAAAATAATTAGTACATCAAATTAATCAGCGAAAGACTAGTCTTGCCCACTAGTGGAAGGGGCATTTCTAATGGAATTGTGGTTAAAAATTAATTTGTTCTTAGTTAAAATCAAATAATATTAGTGCTAACATTTATCTGATTCTAACTGCAAGGGCAACAAAACATTAAACATATCTCATTCTTCTTCTTCTTAGAGTGCTGTCTCCCTCCGGAGGTTGGCAATCATAATGGCTATTTTAATTTTTGAACTTGTTGCTCTAAACAAATCAATCGATCTGCATTAATACCAATCACGTAGATTCTTCAACCATGAGTTCTGCCTTCGGCCAATAGATCTTCTTCCTTGAATCTTCTCCTGTATTATGAGTCTCACAATTTCATATTTTGGTCCCGTTATCACGTGGCCTAGTTATTCCAGGTTTCTGGTTTGTATACTGGTGATTAGTTCTGTTTCTTTACCAACCCTCCCCAGTACATCTTTATTTGTAATTCTATCAGTCCATGATATTTTTAATACTCTGCGGTATAACCAGAGTTCGAAAGCCGCGATTATTTTTAAATTGCATTTTTTTAAAGTACAAGTCTCAGCTCCATATAATATTGTTCTGAAGCTATTTTCTTGTGGCATTGTAAATTAATTACTATTAAACTGGGAATAAGCCACAATTAAAGATAAAAATACGTTTATTGACGTTTCAATTTCCACTTCGGAAATCGTTCTCAAAATACAAACAGTAAATTAATCAAATTTTTTTTGTTACATAGTGAAAAATTCTTCTAATAATTTAATTTTATCTGACTCATTTATATTGACAATTCAGACATACATTATGCATTTTAAAGTAGACGACTTTAAAATGATATTGCCAATATTGTTGAGTTGCGCTCCTGGAACGACTTTACTTATAAGATAGTTCATTCGATTACATGAAATCAACTTTAACTTAGAATATCCGTCAGAAAAAAAGATCATAGTATGTAATTCGTCTTTAAAAAGACAAACACATGCCATGATGACAGTAAAATTCTCCTGTTAGTGATTCCATAGTAAATTATGAGGGAAAAACCAGGAAAAAAACCTCATAATACTATCCCGACATTGTAAGTATTTGTTCGTAAATTTAGTTTACCTTCAACAAAAATCAAAATTCTGATTTTATATGTTACGTCATTTAAAAAACATAAATGATGTATCCTCTATATGTTACTGACTTACTAATACTGGTATTTTCTTATTAATAACTTCCTCTTTCAATATTGGTAACCAGATCCTACTACATTCTGCCGAGGAATTTGCGACACAATTGGTCTCATTTAGCATAATTAGAGCCGCTTCTTTGATTTTTCTTTTTTTACCATCCGTTTCGTTTAGGACTACATTTGAGTTATTCCATTGAACCCTATGTTCATTATCCCATGCGTGTTTACAGATTTGAGATCTATCTAATTCTCTATTTTTAATATAAGATTGATGTTCACTTATTCTAATATTTAATGGCCTTGATGATTCACCTAAATAAAACTGATCGGATTCACAAGGTATTTTATAAATGCAATTCTTTGTCCTTTCTTGTTCATTGTTAGGTTTGGTTTTGGACAAAATAGATCTCAACGTGTTTGTTGTTGAGATCTATTTTGTGAATTTACTTTTTGTATTTTGAGAATGATTTCCGAAGTGGAAATTGAAACGTCAATAAACGTATTTTTATCTTTAATTGTGGCTTATTCCCAGTTTAATAGTAATTAATCCATATAATATATTGAAAATATATAACAGCGAGTGGTACGTAGTCTAATCATTGATTTTTTTACTTAATCTATCACGTTACCATTGATTGTCAATAGGTGATGTATATTTTGTGATATTTTTGTAATTAGCATGTACTTCGTTTTTCTAGCGTTTATAGTAATTCCCATCTCAGCACTATTCATACTTAAGGTTTCGATAAGATATTGTAGATCTTTTATAATCGTTGGTATAATCACAGTATCGTCTGCATATCGTAGGTTGTTAATTATTTTCTGTTAACGGTAACTCCTACTTTGATATTATTGTGTGTGTTTTAGAAAATTTGTAAAATATAAGTTAAACAAAAATGGCGATAAAACACATCCCTATCTAACTCCTCTGCAGATTTTCATTTCTTCTAAGTGTTGCTTATCAATTTGAACTATGGCACTTTGGTTCCAATATAATGTTTGCACTATATTTATGATTTTACTGTCAATGCGCTTATTCAGAAGTATTGATAATAGTTTTAGATTAGACTAGATTTTAGATTTCACTCCTGTCCTAGTATGGATTAAAATCAGACAGATGAAGGGTGAAGGGTGCAATAACTTATGAAAACAAATCAACAAATAACCAAGATAGTTTGCATAACACTTCCATATTAAAACCAAAGTCACTTTTTCCATTCCATATACAAATAATACAATTATTGCTTTAGATCAGTCTAATATGATCAATGTTCCTTTTACCGAACAAAAACCAAATCTAGCCATCTCTTCTACTAAAAATTCAGCAGCACCTAAAAGCATTTCGTCAATTTTCCTTAAAAATCTTCACCAGTAAACGCTTTCCAAATTCCTCGAACTTTACACCATGATATGGTGTAATCAAAATTTGCCTGCCCTCTGGCGAGAATCAAATATTATACCTATTAAAAAAACTGATTCCTTATCAGTTCCCCCTCCCAACCCTTTTAGGCCAATTTCATTAACATGTACACTTTGTAAATTATTAGAACAATCTAGTTCTTGTTCAATCAGAAATTTCTCAAGCCATAACAAATAACAGCGGGGTTGTCGCTGTAGCCTTGAACATATGGAACACTTTTGATACTGACTTAAAGAATTTAATCTTTCCAGAAATATCTTATCAGTTATATGTATTTTTTTAACTTTAAAGTTGATACAAATGCAAAATGCTGATAGAGTCATTTAGGCATCAAATGTCCGAAAATATTTTTAGGTCACAATATTGAAGAGACTTTCTTTCTCTCTCCCCTTTTCTCCCTCTCTCTCCCCTTCTCTCTCTCTCTCAATATCTCTCTTTACCCCTCTCTCTCTCTTCATCCCTTTCTTCCTCTCTTTCTCTCTTTTCCATCTCTCTTTATCACGCCCCTCCCCCTTCCTCTCTCTATTCTATGGCGCAACAGCTTAAGTCGCTCCCTTGCCTCCACCATCATTTGCCTCCAAGTATCCCTTTTTTGGCTGATTTTTTCCAGTTATCCACTCTCAATATCTATTTATAATCGCTTTTCATTTTGTCTATTCACCTCTTCCCTGGTTTTCTGTCTTACCATAGTTCCACTAAGCGTTCTATGAGGTGTTCTGTTATTATTCATTCTTATAAGGTGACCTGCCGAGAACAATCTTTGTCTTCTTCTTCTTCAAGTGCCCTGTCCGTTGTGAACGTTGGCTATTAACATGGCAATTTTGATCTTGTTTGCGGCGCTTCTGAATAGTTCGACCGATGTAAGCCCGAACCACTTCCGCAGATTTTGGAGCCATGAGTGTCTTCTCCTGCCTGGCCCTCGCTTACTGTCTATTTTTCCCTGGACAATCAATTGTAGCAGACGGTACTTATCGTGTCTCAACATGTGGCCTAGATATTCAATCTTTGTATTTTTGCATAATTTGTTATAGAGGTTTCTTTGTAATATTCATTATTTCACGACTGAACTCGTGGTTAAACCTTATTCTCCAAATATCATTTTTGTAAATGGTTCAAGTATCCTCTTTATCTTTTTTTAAAGTACTAATAAGTTTTGTTGTATTTTCTTTCATGATCCACATTTCTGCGCCATATTAATTATGCGTTGATATTGGTCGTATGATGGTTTTGTATATTTTGAACTTTACTTTCCTATGGATGTCTTTGGGTCCAAACACCTGCTACAGAAAGAAGTATGATATGTTAGCAGCATTATCTTTTTTCGTATTTCCTTCTCCTCGCTGCCGTCATCAGTTGTTATGTTATCTGTACTCCCAAGTATGTGAGCTGTTTTACTTCTTTAATATTTGTGTCTGTAAACACTCTATTTTTGGGTTTACAGATATCTTATAACATATTCCATACATATTTAATAAAATCGGAGCCAGACCATCTTTCTGTTTTAGAATTTCAGTTATCTGGAATATATCTGTCAATTGTTTTCGTACTGTTTTAACTGAATAATAGTAGACTTATTCTCCTATTTATTATCCACGCAGAGTAGTGATATGTCTCCATAGCTTAGAGTTTGTTTTCCTTCTTGTGAATATGTGGGCATATAATTGCTAATATATTTGTTTGTATTTGCTCTGTTAACAGACCATTGAAGTAGTTTTTTAGCCTGCTTTGTAACGTCTTGGTCGTTGTACGATCAGTGTCGTTAAGCAACACCACACTGCTTAGAGGAACGAGGGAAGCAATCCTCCAAATATCTCCAAGACTATTCAAAAGAAACCGTTCATCGTTTGGTCCATCAGAATGATGCTCTACCCGACTGCTCAGCCCTAGGTTCACTCCCTGCTTATTTTTCTCCACGCTCATCCCATAAAGGTACAGGAAATAAAAATTTACAAAAGCATGATGTTTCTTCAATACATTAATATTAAAAAAAACATAACGTGATTAGGAAGAGTAAGAAGTAAATTTCCAAGCTGTGATTTAAAGCCGCTATAAAACAATTAAGATAGTACTCGGCTTAAGTTCTTTTTCAGCGAAGTCATGCAGTACTCGAGGAAGGGTTCCATTCTTTGGGGAAAATTACCGAGGCCGGTAGTTGTTATGTAGCTGGATGGCTGTTACTGTATCTTGATATTAATTCCGGTATAAATGCAATTAGGATACACAAATATTAGGTTTCATTTTGGTCCCTAAGGTGGCAGTGCGATTTCAAATTAGTGGCTAAAAAATCCAAACAAAAGTCAGTTCCCTTCAATGAGAAAAGCCGTAGGGAAAGCGATCAGAAATAAAGTTAAGTATTCAAACAAAAAAAGGTCTTAACAAAATCTCTGATTATAGCTAGAAGTATAAGTAAAATGTAATGGCATGTCTTGCAAAACAGGAAAACAAAAAACAAAAAAGTATATCAATGGAAGGTAACCGTATATACGTATTTTTGACAATTGGTTATATAATACATATATTATAAACCTCCTAAATTGTCTTGCGCGCAACTTCAGGCGTACTATTCGCTCCGTGCGTTACTGACACGACACCTACCGCCTTTTTCTGACAATTTTGGAGTCTCAATTTTCAGGTTAAACATATAACATATGTTTGACATTGTTAAATACATGCGAAATTGACAATTATTAATAAATTAGTTTTTTAACTATATTTTTTCAGTTTATGTACAAAATAAACGTAGTATTAAAAACTGGGTTTCTCAAAATTCATCATAATATATCTTTTCAACTCCAAACGTAAGAGAAAGGGAAAAATCTAATACTGACAAATCAAGTTTTTCACGCAAAAGAGCATATAATTAAAAACAATAAAAGTTATGATATAAAAGCTAAAGTCATCTGCAGTTAGCTTGAAGCCTTATGAAATATCATTCAAGGTAAATTATTTAAATTTTTCATATTTCAATTGCGTAAAAATGAAATTATGTGATATTTACTTTTTCATATTAATAGCAGGAATTTATCTTTTTCTTTTCTCTAATTTATATGTAATCTTTGGGAACCTATAAAAACTACACTCACTGTTTTTGCTATTATTAGCACAATTAAATACGCAACATGTATTTGCACACATTTTTGATAAAATTTATGCGTAAAAATATTTTGTCCAATATTCCAATTTTGTCATATTTCGCCGCTACGCACGCTGGCATCGTTTCAATGTACCCCTACCATGGTCACGCAAATTACTTTTTGTAATTTTATTCCTTTAAATCTGTTTCCCATTAAATCCCAAAACTCTCTTGTTGGTTTTTGTTCTTCAAGTCCTCCAAATAGTTATTTATGTATAAAGTTGAATTTTATTTAGTTTTTGCTTTTTGTGCTTGGACACTCAAGTTCAAAGTAATACTTTTATCTTTTATTTTTAAAAGAAGAAGTCGCAACAATGTCACATTTCTATTGAGTTCGGATGGTAAAGAAAACGCATCGTCACCATTGTCAATTAGAATTATTCTTAAGATTCTTAAAATCACCTTCTGCCGTAAGTTACGGAGCAGGCAGTAGGGACAGGGTCTGATTTATATAAAGTTATTGTCTACTTCGAAAGAAATTTCACCGCTGTGAATAATTTGCTACTTACGTTGAGTGCAGTACAAAATTCTCACATCAGCAAATTTCAAAACATGTCTGTAATTTGCTGTCTACTATATGAATGATTTATTCACTTATTGTTTTAGAAGTCTATTTCAATGCAATCACTTTACAGACATTTCTGAAAAAATTACTACCTACTTATTTAATACATTGTTTTCTAATTTTTAAACTTTTCCTTTAAATTATTAACAAAGATTTTAAGAAGCAGCTTGTCAGATATTGTAAAAAGCATAAATATAGACTTTAATACAGTTTTCATATTTTTTTAATATAACTTAACCTATTTATTTTAATATCAAGCAGTATACCGGGTGGTGAATCGTCAAACATACCATACGAAACTCAATGGTAAGTTATAAACCGTTGAACTCCTGCTTATCTATTGATTTTACATCAAAAGTGTTGAGATGATATTTGTGAAGGACTGAAATCTGTACTGAAAACAAATGTTAAAATTGTTCCAAGAATTAAACTTGTAGCGTTTTAAATTTTGTAATACGTACCTGTTCGTTTATCTCGTCAGTACGCATAAAGAT